GACTTCTCCGGAGCTCCACCACAGCCTGTACTGTCAGGGGAAGAATGGCTTCCAGGGAGTTTCCGCAGGTATTGTGCAAGGTCCTCCTGGTTTACAGCTTCCGAGTGGCTCTCATGACCCCAGTCCACAGGACCTCTGACTCCTTGGGCTTAGTCTTCATTCTCATGTTCTCCTAGTCTTTGTTCAGCAGCTGCTCCTCCACTGACTGGACCTTTCTGGTTCTCAGTGGCAGGAGCAAGAGTGACCCGTTGCATGGCATGTGGTTTCTCCATGTTTGAATGATTCACACACGTCTGTGGGTGGGCATCTGGAGCCAGTGCATTCACACACGTCTGTGGGTGGGCCAATTATGTCATTGTTTCTCTGTGTCATGGTTGTTCTCAATTGAGTGGCAGCAGCTGGCCTAAGGGCTGGCGCGCAGCAGTGCTTGCCACTGCGTGGCTCCCCCTGCACCAGGGGCCCTCCTTGGGGGTGCCTACGAGGCAGGAAGCGAGCCAGCCAGAAGACCAGCGCTCCCCGCTCATGACTCCCCATGCACCTGGGCCCCTCCTTCCAGGCACCTACGAGGGAGGGAGCGAGCCAGCCAGAAGACTGGCGCTCCCCGCCCGTGGCTCCCCGTGCACCTGGGCCCCTCCTTCCGGACGCCTACGAGGCAGGGAGGGAGCCAGCTGGAAGACTGGTGCTCCCCACCCGTGGCTCCCCGTGCGCTGGAGGTAAATTTTAGATATACATAGTGATAACATTCATCATAGGAGATTTATACCTATAGATGATATATATTACTTTTTTCCTATTCCCCTCCTCCTTCAGCCCCTCTTCCCCTCTTTATTTACAAAAGCTTTCTTTCCATTTTTCCTTTTATTCTTATTTTTTCTTGTCACTCCTTTCCTTTCCCCCACATTTTTCCCTTAATGTCCTTCATTTTCTTCATATTTAGTACTTAAATTTCTTCTTATAAAATTATTATTCAATTTTCTTCTTATTTCCCTATATCTATTATACATTTTGGTCCTTATTTATAATTTTAGTTTCTCACACCAGAGAAACTATGCAGTGTTGAAACATGTGTGTTCTATTTATTTCACTTAACAGTATGGTCTCAAGGTGCATACATTTACCTAGAAATGTCTCAAGCTTATCCTTCTATATGGTTGAGTAGTAGTCCGTTGTATAAAAACCCACATATTCTTTATCCATCCATCAGTTTATGGGCATTTGGGCTATTTTCAAGGTTTACCTATTACAAACTGTGCCACTAAAAACATGGGTGTGAATATATCACTGTGGCATGCTGCTTTTAATTCTTTCAGGAAGATATCAAGATGGGGAAGAGCTGGGTCAAATGGCACCTCTAGTTTTAATTTTTTGAGGAATCTCCACACTGATTTCCACAGTGGTTACATCAACCTATATTGCCATCAGAAGTGTTCCTTTTCCCCCATAGCCCCTCCAGCATTTGTTATTGGTTCATTTCTTGATAATAGGCATTCTTTCTGGAGTGGGATGGAATCTCAGTATCATACTAATATGCACCTCATGCATGACCAGTGATGTTGACCATTTTTTCATGTATTTATTTGTTGCTTCTACTTTTTAATTGGAGAAGTGTCTATTCATTTCAGATGCCCATTTTTGGACTGAGTCTTTAAATTTAAGGGGTCCGATTTTTTAAATTTTTTATATATTGTAGATATTAGTCCTTTGTGAAACAGCTAGCAAAGATATTTTCTCTTCTGTGGGCTGTCTTTTCACTCCATTGGTGGTTTCTTTTGCTGTACAAAAGTTTTTAATGAGATGAGATCCCAATTGTTGATCTTTGTGATATTTCCTGTGCAATCAAGCTTTTGTTCATAAAGTCTTTGCCTACACAGATGTCTTCAAGAGTTCTACTCTTCTCTCCTACATCAGATTTAGTGTTTGTGTTTTAATATTTAGATCCTTGACCCCTTCCAATTTAACTTAGTGCACGGTGAAAGACATGAGTCTAGTTTTAATCATCAGCGTGTGGAAAGCTAGTTTTTCCAGTACGATTTATTGAAGAGGCTATCTTTCTTCCAGTGAAGGAGCTATCTTTCTTCCAGTAGAGGGCACCTTCATCAAAGATAATAAGGCTGAGTGTATTTGGAGTTATTTCTGCATCTGTTAATCTGTTCCATTGATCCTCAGGTCTCTTTTTTGTTCGATTTTGTTTGGTTGGATTTTTTTTGTCAGTACCTTACATTTTTAAAGTTACAGTAGCTTTGTAGACTAATTTCAAGTCAGAGATTGTGATGCCCCTGTGTTGCCTTTGTAGTTCAGAATTGCTTTTGCTATTCTGAGTCTCATGGTTCTAAATGAATTTGGGGGTTGTTTCCTCTAATTCTGTGAGAGAACTTATTGGTATTTTGATTGGGTAGCAATTTTGTGTGTATTGCCAGTTTCACTACATTGGTTATTCTTACCCAAGAGCAAGGAATATATTATCATTTTCTGATATTTTCTTCAATCTTTTTTTTTTCTTTCCTGTTTTTGGATAAGGTTAGCTAAGGGTTTGTCAGTTTTATTTAATTTGTCAAAGAACCAACTCTTTAATTCATTGACTCTTTGTATTGTTTTCTTAGTCTGCATTGTATTAATTTTTCCTCCTATCTTTATAATTTTCTCCCTCATATGAGCTTTGGGTTTCACTTAGTCTTCTTTTTCTACAAGCTTGAAGTTCAACATCAGGTTGTTTATTTGAGCTTACTCTGCTTTAATATGAGATTTCACTGCTATAAATTTCTCTTGTTGAACTGCTTCCTTTGCATCCCATAAGGTCCAGTACGTTTTACTGGCATTATTGTGTAATTGTAGAAACTGTCTAATTTCTTCTGTAATTTCATCTGTGACCTACTGGTTGTTCAGGAGGGTATTATTTAATTTCCATGTGTTTATGAATTCCATTTGTTCAAAAGTTTGGTTCAGTTCTAATATTTCTTTGTTGAATTTTCTCTAGTTGATCTGTCAATTTGTGACAGTGATGTATTGAGTTCCCCCATTATAATTGTATAAGTGTTTATTTGATTTTTCATGTTCATTAATATTTGTTTTATATAGTTGGGTGCACTGGCATTTGGTGTCTATATGTTTATGATTGTTATCTCTTCCTCTTTGAATTTTCCATGGACAAGTATGTAATGATATTCTTTGTCTCTTTTGATCAGTCTTGGCTTGAGTTCACTTTGTCTGCAAGTAGAACTGCCCCTGCTTTTGGTGGAGGGGTGGGGTCCTGTCACATAAACTATTGTTTTCCATCCTTTGGCTTCCAGTCTATTGCTTTTTTATTTAAACGCATTTCTTGTATGCAGCATATTTTTGGATCTTGCTTCTTTATCCATTCTGCCAGTTTGGTATTTTTGCTTGGTGAATTGAAGCAATGAAAGCAATCCTCAGAGGGAAATTTATAGTGGTGCATTCCCACATCAGGAAAACAGAATGAGCACAACTAAACAACCTTATGCTACACCTCAAACTTATAGAGAAAGTAGAGCAAGTCAAGCACAAAGCACAAAGAAGGCAGGAAATTATAAAGATCTGAGCAGAAACTGATGCAATGGAGATTAAGAAAACAATACAAAGAATTAATGAATCAAAGAGTTGGTTCTTTGAAAGAATAAATAGAAACTATAAACCCCTAGCCAAACTTCTCAAAAAAAAGGAAAGAAAAAAAACAAAATTCATGCAATGAAGAATGAAAAGGATGAAATCACTGCAGATCCTATAGAAATTTAGAAGATTATCAATACCTATTTGGTAAAACTGTACTCTCAGAGGATGGAAAACACAGAAGAAATGGACAGATTCTCAGATATGTATGAATCACCAAAGAGGAATCAACAATATATAAAAATTCTGAATAACCCAGTATCAGTCAATGAAATTGAAAATGTAATTAAAAATTTACCAACAAAGAAAATGCAGGTCCTGATGGATTCAGACTTCAATTTTACAAGAAATTTAGAGAAGATTTAATGCCAAATCTTCTCAAACTCTTTAATGAAATAGAAAGGGAAGCAATTCTCCATAACTCATTCCTGGAGGCAAGTATTACTCTGATAACAAAAGCAGAGAAAGGCCCAGCCAAAAAAAGAGAACTATAGGCCAATCTCCCTAATAAATATATATTCAAAAATACTCAATAAAATACTAGCAAACAGAATGCAGGAAATCATCAAGAAGATTATACACCATTACCTAGTGGGATTCACCCCAGAATGCAGGGATGGTTCAATAAGTGAAAATCGATAAATGTAATATAACATATCAGCAGAGCCAAGGACAAAAATCACATGATCCTCTCAATAGATGCAGAAAAATTTTTTGACAAGGTCCAACACTCATTCATGGTAAAAAAAAAAAAAAACCTACAGAAAATTGGAATAAATTGTCTTTACCTCAACCTGATAAAAACCATTTATGCCAAACCAACAGGCAAAAGCACCAGCCTGGCAAGTGCAAGGTCTTGAGTTCTATTCCTGGCACCAAAAAAAAGTGAAACTAAAAAAAAAAAAAAGTAAAACCAACAGCCAATATCATACTAAATGGACAGAAACTGAAATCTTTCATTTTAAAATCAGGAGCAAGACAAGGGTTCCATAGTCCCACTCCTATTCAATATAGTTCTAGAAACACTGGCCAGGGCAATTAGACAAGAGAAAGAAAGAGAAGGAATATGGATAGGAAAGGAAGAACAAGCAAATTAATCCTGCCATACATATCAATCCAATGTGGAACTGTTCTCCTTGTGTGAGCATGGATGAAGTCCAGGTATAAAGGATGGAGTAGAACTGCAAATAGATGAATGCATTGCACCATGTGCCTTTTAAAAAATCAGTTTCAAAGACTTCCCTAGATGCCACCTATTGTTGCATATGTTCAAGCACCACAGAATAACATAACAAAAACACACTGAATAACTATACTTCCAAATGTCTAGCTAATAATATATTTGGGACATACATGTGAAATGAAACACAAGAGGCTTAATTGCTTCTAGAATTTTATGTCTTACTTGAAATCATTGACAAACTTCAAGTAACATCATCTCCATAGCACGGTATGTACTTGAGTTACTACAAACAGTTTTTAAAAGATATGATTCCTCTAATTGCAGAGGTGTACTCAGGTTATTTTAAACAAGCAAGTGAGCAAAGATGTAAAGATTTGATTATTTAAAGCTCAGGCATAACATGATAGGTTTGACTCCATGGAATCTGTGCCAATTTATGCACAAGTACAAATAAAGGAGATTAAATGTCCCTATCCACTTAATATCCAAAATTTGGGGACATTATTCCCATGGGAAGAGCCCCGGTGGACAACCTAACATCTTCTCCTGGTACACTTTATCAAAGACTTCAGCCTGGGCTACGGTGAAGTGATTCTTCCAGTCCCCAGAGACACCTGGAAAACAGAATATAGCCACTTAGATCAGATGTAGAGACAGGAGTTCAGGACACAGCACGTCCCATACCCTACCTCCTATCAGTGATACTCTAGCTAATAGAATAGAATGACCAATGGCCACTTCAGGCACCCTGGTACTTTCTAACTACATCTATGAACACTTATACCTGCATGGAAATGACTTCCTTCCTAACATTCTCTCTCAAAGCATCATGGACACAATCCATCAGCAACAGCACGGGCTGTATCTCTCTTACATGTGTAATCTAGCTATTTCTCACCATGTCTGTTGCTACCCCTTTTCCTAAGCCAACAGCACTTTTCACATTGGCTATTTTAAAATATTTTAATTGATCTCTCTGTTTCGTGCAGTTCTCTTCAGAGGTTCTCATCATTGTATCCTTCTTCATCCTTCCTCTGGATCCACAGGATTCAGACACTTTGGGCTCAGAGTTTATCCCACAACTTTTAGTTTGACTTGGCCAAAGTGCTCACTCGCAGTACTTGTCCCTAGGTTATCCCATACCTTGATGCTCCTGTCTTCATCTCGTAGACGGTACATTCACTTTCTGTCCTTCACTACACTGGATCTTTAGACAGCCCAAAACAGGCCCGGCTCCCTGCTCCTCATAGAATGCTATTTGCATTCTCTGAATCTTCACTGGAATCCTATTCCCTCAGACATATTTCTGTCTTTTGCATTTGTCTCCTGTTCTTTCCTCCAAAGTAACCCTGTCAGTAAGGCTCTCTCACCACTCAGTCCAGAGTGATACAGATATGCAGTTGCTCTGTATTTCATCATACCAATCATTGTGTGCTCACTTCAGCAGCCAGGTCCTAACACAGGAAATATGTGAAATACACTATCATGTATGTGAAATACACTATGTATTCCCTTTTTCTATTTGTGTATGGCATGTTTCACAAATATAGGAAAACAAAATTTTTACTATTTATTCATTAAAATTTAGTATTTGAAAGAGTGACACACATATACTGTATACTCAATAAAAAATTATTGGAAGTACTCATAATATAATGAGCACTCTAGCAATGTATTCCCAATTTTACACATGAGGAAAAATACACTCCTTTGTGATTATCTGATAAAAAAGTGATGAATGAGATTCAGGTTTTTATTTCAAAGAGAAAAAGTAATAAAAACAATGATACACAATTTCTAAACAACAGGAGAGTAACAATGGTTCATACATTGTGTATTGTTATCTTCAAAGTAGTTGCTCAAATTACAAGACATAGACCTGTAAAATGAACCAAAAAATACAAACATAATTCTTTCTTCTCAATGACCTAGTAGAAATAAGTAGTATAACCAGCTTAACTATCTTCTGTATATATATTTTTCTTTTTCACTTCCTTCTTGATGAATAAGATTTCAATCTGAGATTATGACTACAGAGTCATATTCCTTTTGACATGATTACATTATTAATTTATGTATCACATAATTATTATAGCATAATATATCAATATATTAACTTCATAGAATACCAAGTTGAATATATGTTAAATACTACATAATTATAAACTTTTATCTCCACATATATAGAATAAGTAATATAATGCTAAAATATGTATTTGATGCCTTTTAAACCCTCACTCACTGCTGGGTTCATTGCTATGAACATTAATAAAATGAATTAATTATGGATTTCTTCTGCTCACTTATTACCCACAACATCCTGGAGGACTGGTATGCCAGGGAGAACTTCTGAGCTACCACACTCAAAGTAAATTATAATGGTTTCTCAGTATACAAAACATCTCTCCAGATGAAAGATTCCAAAATTCCTATGGGCACCTAAAGTTGTAAACGTGGCTAACTCAAAATCCTATAGATCTTGCAGATGTAAACTTCTGTTTCTATTTCTCCTTTTTTCCTCGTGTTTAAAACAACTCTCAAAAGAATTTTAACCCAGCTGCTATTGAAGCTATTAATAATGTGTCAGAGTTGGTGTCTTAAACAATCAAAATTTATTTTTCTCAAACTTCTGGAGGCTGATGTCTGAGATCGAGGTGTCAGGAAGTTGGATTACTTCTGAAGTGCGCCAAGGAAGGATCTGTTGCAGGCTTTCATTTTTCCCTTTATGTTGTCACCTTTTTCAATGTGTTCACATTATCTTTCCTCTGTGCCTCTGGAACTCTAGTCTCCTTTTGGATACATGTGTTCCTTTTATTATGGCTCACCCTAGTGGCCTCCTTTTAACTGTCTTATACTTATGAAGACTTCGCCTCAAAGTACACTCACCTTCTGAGTTACTGGAGGGTTGGTCAACCACAGATTTTTTGAGGAAAATAATTCATGCACATCTTAATTTTGAAGATATTATTAGAAAATTCAGTGGAGCACTGATACAAATAACATTTAAGACTAAACAAGTCCTTCACTAGACTTAGTTTTTGGTCATTTATAAGTATGAAACTCACAGTGTGACATAGGTATGAAATTCTGAATGAATCCCATTAGAGCATGAGGTCATAACTGTGAATTTTACTGCTCTTTAGTTAACTATTTCAATGATTTTGATACTTGTTCATGAAGACACAGATATATGTTACAGTTGGGTGGGTGAATATCACCACCACATGATAGATCTGGTACTATATGATTTATTAATTATTTTCTCTGTTCATTCAAAACCAGTGAAAACTCAAGGAGTGCTTATTCTGTGCCAGGCAGTATGTTCTAGAATAGAATCAAAGATAACAATGAAATTGGCTGAAGAAACCTACATTATTACCTTAGTTTTTTAGTGTCCCCCAGTACCACCTGTGAAAAGCTGGTTTATGACCACTGGGGCAATGGAAAATTGTTGGAAATGTTAGGACATGGACCCTGACAGGCCCTTGAAGGTGATGTTGGCAACTGTCCCCTTCCTCTTTCCATCTTTTCTTCCTGGCCACTATGATAAAATTGAGCCCCTGACCCTAAATAAAGCTTATCTCCTCTTAATTTGATTCTGCCATGTATTTTGTAATGATGAGGCAAGTTGACTAATACAATTTTATCTTCAAACAAATGCACTTCCTCTAGTTTCACACAATAGCATGATGGCTGTAACAGGCTTCTCCTAAGTACAATTGGCATAATAGTCCATGTATTTTTCTTGGTCATTTGGAAGAGAAGGCCTCAAACATCTGAAAAGGAGTCTGCAAAATTACCCTTACCTAGAGCCAGCAAATAGTAGAGACAATGTTTGAAAGCATTGTGATTCATATATTACCTTTCTTTTTGTAACTGATAAGCTTCATTTTAAAATTAATCTGGGGACTGCATGTTCCTTCCAGAATAAAGAAAGCTTACAGGATTGATGTGGACATATTAATGTATAATAGAACTTTACATGCCATTTCTTTTGAAAAATCACACTGTAACCATTTTGAGGCCTCCCTTTCTTAACAGAGTGAAGTCTTAAGACCTGGTGGTTTTAAGTGTGGTAGAAGTATGAGCTGAGATTGCAGTATATCCTGTCCAGTATATTTTACTACCTTCCCCCTGACATGCATATATTAGCTAATATAGAAAATGACCAGTGAAATATTACAGAGTCCTTGTGTGCTTGGTAATCATACCCACTGACACTTCCATCTTTGTGGAAATGATTTCCTCCCTAACCCTCTCTTCCAACCCATCCTGTGCACAGTCCAACAGCAAAAGCTGGGGCTACATCTCTGCTACAGCTATAATCTACCTGCTTCCCACCATGTCTGTTTCTATCACCTTTGCTCAAGCCAACAACATTTCTCATAATATATTCTCATTGACCTCTCCATGTCTTTTCTGCTGCATTTAGAAGTTCTTATCATGACAGCCATCATAATCCCTCCCCTGGATCTGAAGGATGCAGCCATTTTTGTTTCAGACTGCTGTGGTTTGTATCTTGGTGTCTCTCCAATGACACAGGCAGTCATGGGGCACACTTTTAGAGTTTTTGATTCGTGGGTGTGAGTGCTACACTGCCCTGCCGCAGAGAGTTTGCATATGAAAGAGAGAGGAAGAGGCTTTCTGCAGACACTCCTCCTTTTGCTCTTGTCACTTTTGCTATCTTCCACCACCATGAAAGGCTGTCCTCTGCCATGTGCCACCCTGCCTTCGAACCAACAGAGTATGGACTGAAACCTCCACAGACTGTGAGCTAAATAAACCTTTCTTTCCTTAATTTTGAGCATCAGGTATACTGTTTCAGCAATGAGAAAAAAGTAACCAAGACACAGACTCTCTCAGAGCTTCCTGTTTCTCTCAGCCAAAGTGCTTAGGCTCCCAGGAAAAAAGCAAGGGAGCAATTCTGTTCACAGGCAATGTGAACTTCAAAACAAAATTCATCAAAAGTGATAAAGGAGGACACTACCATACTTGTTAAGGGAAAGCTACAAAAAAAAAAGAGATAATAATAAGTATATATGTACCAAATACAGTGGCACCCACCAATATAAAAAATATTAATGACATTAAAAAATCAAATAAACACTAACACACTTGTAATGAAGGACCTTAATACCACATCCTCATAAATAGATAGATCAACTAGATAATAAATCAAACAAAAATATGGTAGCTGAACCAAATGTGTGAACAAATAAACTTAGTAAAAATCTACAGAGTGTTCCACTCTACAACATCAGAATACACATGCTTCTTAGCAGCACATGAGGCATTCTTTAAATAGACCACATAGTAGCCCATAGAACATGCTTCAAGAAATACAAACTAATTAAAATTATCCCATACATACAGTGCAATGATATTGGAAATCCATGGCAATAGAAACCACAAAAGCTCCATAAACACATGGAAATTAAATAACACCCTACTGAACAAACAGTGGGGTACAAATGAATTTTAAAAAGAAAATATATAGTATTTACTATTAAATGATAATGCCGATACCATATACCAGAACTTATTGGATGCAATGGAACACTTATGAGAAGAAAATTAATAACAGTGAACTCACACATCACGAAAACAGAATGAA